CTAAATTAAGAAACAGCGTGGAAGGAAATTAACAATGGGTGTTGAAAGCGAGTAACGGAAAGCACCCTTACTGCCACTACTTTCGTCGCTACAAAGTCACCCTGACAATCGCACAGTGTATACCATACAAAGTGAGTTCTTACAGCTTTTACAAACCTTTTGGTGAGGTAATAATGAATACTGTAATAATGTTATGTTATAAATATATTGTGTGAAAGTTAATATTTTTGCATTATATATCATAGCATCCACCCCACACTTTTTTTAAGTTCATAACCCAGACAAAGGACGTGTACTTCAGCTTGTTACTTATATATATAAAAAAGTTACATTTTACATTGTTTAATAGCAAAACATTACGACAAAGAACATGATACACTGTACTGTTTAAAACTGTAAAATCAGCAGCACGTTTGTGCTCATGGAATTATTATTTTACGTTTTACGTACAAACTAATTTTCTAGTCATTTATTATCTTTTTTAAAAGTAAGTTTAATATTTTACTCGAAATTATTTATTGGACTTTCATTTTTTATTATTTTTTTTCTTAAACAAAAAGTAGCCCCCTCCCCGTGATTTAGTGATAAGCTCGATGTACACAGTAAACCTAGACTACTGTGCAGCTTTGTGCTTTATAACAAAGAAACAAAAAATGAGATGTAGCACATAATAGAAAAAAAAAAAAAAAACAATTGAATTTCAAATTTTCAAATTTCAGCATTGTATTAATATGAAATTAAATGTTTAATTTTGAGGGCCCATCGATGGCTCAACAGTAAATCTGTGAGCTTATAACGCTAAAAATTTGGTTTTGATACCTGCGGTGGGCAGATAACAGCCAGCTTTTTGTACAGGTTTGTGCTTAACAAGAAGCAAAATGAAAAAAAAATTAATTATGTCGGTTATCTTACATATTCATTAAAGGTGTTTTGTGACAAGTTATTTGTATTATATTGGTAGGCTTTATTTCTTAAACTTCAAGTAGTACTTGTTTTACATTCTTCATATCAGTGTCAGTATCGCTTGCCTGTCAATAGACGTAGTTATTGTTATATATAAATCACATTACTTTGGATGGTGCCTTAGGCTTAACATACACGTCCGAAAGTACAGGGTGACTAGAAGCGAGCCCAGTAATTTATGAAGTGTAACCAACAGATGAACTGGTTTTTATCCTTCATGGTGATTTACGATCGTTCTCGGTTGTACCCAATCATCTAAGATAAAATCGATTGTGGTCGTAGACTGGTTTTTGACTAAGTTATTCTCTTTTTCCCCAGGGTAACCCTGATGGACCTGACAGTACCAACAGCGGCATCGAAGCCTTCCGGTTTATGCTGGAAACCAACAAGGGACGCACCATGTTGGAATTCCAGGAGCTTATGACCGTCTTCCAGCTACTTCACTGGAATGGAAGTCTAAAAGCAATGCGCGAACGACAGTGTTCTCGCCAAGAAGTTGTCGCCCATTATTCTCACCGTACTCTCGATGATGATATGCGCTCTCAGATGGCTTTGGATTGGATTGCTCGTGAACAAGAATCGTCTGGGATAATCGCTAGAGAGCTGGGAAGCGCCGAGCGTGAGCTGGAAGCTGCAAGATTAGCGGGGCGGGAACTGAGGTTTCCCAAAGAAAAGAGAGACATTCTGATGTTAGCCAGCAGTCAAGTGAACTCTGTTAATGGTCTGAGTTAAATCTGCCCAACGTGGCCTAGTGTTTTATACATAATGTAAATAGTAAATCGGAGATTTGCTACTTTTGGAGGTCGCCATGCCATTTTGTGACGTCTCTGTGTGGACCCAGGGCATTGCTATAAAGGGCAAAGGTTGTTTATACCAGCTTTTTATTTTGAACAGTCTGATTTCCAAGATCTCTTTTCTTTTTTAATTTATTACTAAGCTCTTTTATGTTCTGGGCGAACAGGAGGAAGGAACTTTATATCTGACTGGTCTTCTCAATGGCTGTGCCCAAAACTGTGGAGCCAGCTGCTTGTGATAGTTTACCTGCTTCACAATAATCCCTCGTTAGCAGCAGCCTTGACTCAAGTAGAATCATCAAGATGATAATGCTTTAGTTTGAAAAGGCTGTGCAAATACCATCGTCTTTCTATGGCTGCCTAACTATTTCTAGCGAGTAGCACTTAGGCCTAAGATTAATAAACTGTTTTAGTTGTTCATAAAAGAATTTCACAAGAATAGAATAGAAGTATTCCGCTACTTGCTTCTGGTAATAGTTGTATTTGTGACCCAAGCCATGATTTTTATTGTCTTTATTAAAATCTAACATTAATATGGAATTTACAATCAGTTTTTTTTTTGGATTTACGAATACTATAAGCTTTATTTTATTCTCATAAAACTAGTTTTATCTCATACTACTTTATTTTATTTCTTTGTTTTGTCAATTGTTCCGAAGTTTTAAATGCTTTCAAATTTGGCAAGACTGTTTGTGTGATGCTTAACAAAAATTAATTGGACGAGCAGACTGCAGTTTTGAAAAGGGAAAATAATACACATTGAAGAAAACGCTTAGCAAAGCTTTTGAAGTTTAAAAAAATCATGTAACGTTAGTGGTCTTGCTTTATATTAACCAGCGCAGTAATAAAATTGAGCAAACTTCTGTAATTTCGAAAAGTTCTTAACAAGAAAATCACTTCTAGAATCTGTTGCATGTTCATAAAGTTACAGATGGAATATCTGTTTATTTTATATGCACTGAGAGTAATGCGAATAATATTGTTAAATACTGGAACGATATCCTTTTATTTCCTTTCTTATAAGATATAAAGTTAACTGCACAGAAGTTTTAATTTAATATCTATGTATTGATATAATGAATTTCTGTAAGAATCATTGGTGACTAAAATTATTTTATTATTTATAATAATTTTAGTCTAGGTACCCGCCCC